TTCTATTTCTATTATTTCTATTTCTATTTCCATTTCCATTTCTATTCCTATTTCTATTTCTATATATGTTTCCAATGAGGTGAGGCATTATCTTACTTTGAAATACCAACTGTTTTCGATGATGTTACTACAACTCAGAGCTACTCTATGAACAGTAGCTCTGAACTTTGCACCACCCTGAGCCAATCTCACTGCCTTGGACACACTTGCACCCATTACTGCAGTCACTATGTCAATCCATCTCATCCATAGTCTTCTTCTCCTGCCATGACCCTCCACCCTTACAAGAATGAAAGATTAACCAGCTTGTGAAAAATTTGGGATGCATCCAAAATGGAGTTTGGATTGGAATTAATTATATCTCATTCCTTTACTGGTATATGAGTAGTTGGTGGTCTGTTCCACAAGCAGCACCTAGCCTAGTTTTCACAATTGATACTAAGCTTCTCCAGTGTTTTTTCCACAGATGTAATCAATTTGATACCTATGCATATCATCAGGTGAAATTCATGTGTATAGTCTGTGCTTATATTTCTTATAAAATGTATTTGCAATGAATAACTCGTTGATTGTGCAAAATTCTATCATTCTATCTCCAGCTTCATTTCTGTCACTAAGTCCATGTATTCCAACTACTGAGTCGTCTTCTCTGTTCCCCATCTTTTGCATTCCAATCACCCACTATTTTTAATGCATCTTAATTGCATGTTCTATTGATCTCTACCTGTAAAAGTTGGTAGAAATCTTCTATTTCCCCTTCTATGGTTCTGGTTGGTGGTGCACATATCTGAATGATAATGGCAGTCACTGGTCTTCCTTATCTGCATATGGATATTATCCTGTCACTCACAATATTTCAAGATGGATCTAGAAATTACTTTTTTAACTATGAAAGTATCCCCTTTTTTCCTCACCTTTTCATCTCCAGCATACATCATATGATTGTCTGACTCAAAATGTCCCATGCCAGTACAGCTCATTTTGCCACTAACTAGTATGTTAATATTCTTGTGTTCCATTAATTTCTTAATATCTAATTTTCCTACATTCAAGGTTCTCACAGTCCATGTTCCAATCATTAGTGTCTGCTTACAACTCTTCCTCTTCTTTATGCTTCCATACTTGAGGACTCCACCTCAGTTGTCATATCAGCTGTGTAAGTAAGCTCTATTGTACATAGGGTTTTCAAAGGCCTGCTATTTCAGAAGTGGATGGCCAATTCATCTTCCTAGTCTGTGTACCTGATCCAGGCCATGGTCTTTGCAATTACTTGCTGTGCATTAGAGAGCTGGACAATGACTAGGGATGATAGAGAATTGATATCTTTGAGCTGTGGTGCTGGAGAAGAGTCTTGAATATACCATGGACTGCTAAGAGAACAAACAGGTTCATACAAGAGAAGGTGAAACCTTTCCTTGGAGACACAAGGATTCTGAAGCTTCATCTGACATACTTTGGACATGTTGCAAGGAAAGAACAGTCCCTGGAGAGAAACATCATACTTGGGAGGTTGGGGGGACAGCACAAAAAAGGAAAAACCTCAAAGAGATGTATTGATTTCAGTGACTAGGGTAATGGGGTAGGTGTGTTGGAGACAATAAGATTGGCACAGGATAGATCAGGGTTTCAGTTGTTGTACATAGGGTTGCTATTAGTCACAGGTGACTCAACAGCACATAACAACAACAACATTCTTTTACTATTTCACAGCTCCATGCATAGAAATTTAAATTACAGTTAATTCTCAAATCTTTGAAATTTAATAAGGACCCTGGGTGTACAATATGCGGGAGGTGGTGGTGGTAGAGTAAATTTTATAGAAGGATGGTTGGATTGTGTTGGGTATATAACTTATGCTTGAGAATTCAGAACATAAAAATCTGTCTAGCCTGGATTATTTGGTCATTAAATTGCATTAGAAATAACAAATGTTTATTTTTTTTTTAACAAATGTTTAAAGGTTGGAAATACTATTTAAGTTGGGAACAACAATAAAAGCATAAGCAGAGTAAATGTTTATGGAATTCAGTGTAAAAATAAGAATAGGGAATGAAGTAGGTGAGGTTCAGCATGGAAAACTGCAGTGTAGTTAGTCATTGTTATTGGTTATTATGGAAAATAAGGTGGAAGGTGACCTGTTTGTTTAGAAATTTAAATGCTACATTTGGGAATCTGAATTTACATAGAGATAGCAAACAATGACATTGTCCCAGAAGCAGAAAAATTTTATATCTATTAGAAAATGTACTTGGTATTTAACTGGAAAAAAAAAGATATTAGAAGAAATAAGACTATTTCAATAATTCAAACACAAGGCAAGAAAAACTGAAACAGGAAGTGATAAGAAAGGAAAGAATCAAAAATCATTGCATTTTACTTGAAACTGAAGCATAGCTGACCTTTCAGATTGGTTTTTGAGGCTTTACATTAAAAGAAGATTGTTCGTCTTTATGTCACAGAGCCTAATGAATTCAAACCACCAGAGAAGCATTGTCTTTGGGTTTGTAGTTCATCTAAATAAGAAATACTTAACAAAGTTCTCACAAAAGGAAAAGAGATACATAGATACAAACTACATCCTAAAGAACAAATTGTAAACTATAAAATACTAAATAATAAAAGTAAATCTGTTTTCTTTTTGTGTCAATTATGTCATACTGGAATTTTTGGTACCAAGACTTAATATTAACTGTCTGACATACTTGGAAAATCAATAAACATTTTCTGAACATTTGATGTGATCTAAAAATATTTTTATTATCCATGAATTTGAATATTTTTCATGTATTTAATTACCAGTTATCTTTTTTAATTCTTAAAATCACCTAATCATATCTTTTGCTTATTCATTCAAAAACACTTGTCATTTCCCTTGTTACTTGTATTTTACTTTAAAATTGTTGTGTG